GTTTGTATCAAGCGGCCGGCAGAGGAATCCTACTCCGGCGGGCCCCTGAGCAAGGCCCTTAACCCCAGCTGCTCCAGGGGTGCGGTATAAATAGCCGACCCTGCGTTCTGACCCCCAGCTTCTCTCCCTGTCTGTGTGTCTCATGGAGAGCAAGCTGGGGTCTGAGAAAAGACACATTCCTAATGCAGGAAATTGTATATGGCTAATAAAGTGATCTGATCTCTATCTTTAATCTTATCTTTATCTATGTATCTGTTCTGTGGTGGACTGACGTCTCATACGAGGTGGATCCTGCCTTGTGCCCGTTGCTTACTAGAGTAGGCTCTGGACCTTCCTTATTTCCTAATTCTGTGGTGTACGAATTAACAGCAGTGGCCCGGAGGAATGTACTGCATTGTACTCCATTTAAAATATATATTTTTTCTTTTTTTGGGTTGAAAAAGTTACAAAACAGAGTGGACCGATACATCGACCACTTCACTTTGGACAAAGAGCTGAGCGAGAGAGGATCTCTCATCATTCATCTTTATAAGGTATGATCGTTAGGTGCTGCAAATAAGATGATATGATCATATTTCATTGTCTGGTTTCTCAGAAATTTGTCTTGCATTGAAGCGGCTGTGCCTTACACACACAGAAAATTACAGTACATCCAGACAATGCAATCAAACGATATTACATAACAGACATCTACACATATTCATTTCATATCACTCCTACAGGAGTCAACACAGCTAAACCTGCAAATTTACTCCACTCACAATTATATTTAGCCTGCTGTATGTACTTACATATAACATGCTTTACATGATCAGCACTTTCCCATAAGTCTTTCCTCATTTATTGTGAAGTCATTTACTGATTGAGTAGTTTAACTGAGTACTGGATAAAATAATTCCTTATTTTTTGCTCTGGAGTGAGGGACTCTAAAATATATGTTTGAAGGCATGGATTGATATTCCCACAATACTATTAATGTAAGCAGTTTGAATTGTGGTTGAGCATTCTGGCACACTATGGCTGCCGTTGCATCATCCCGGTGGGGCTGCACATTGGTGGTGGTGGAGGGGATCCCCATTACCTGTAAAGTGCTTTGAGTGGAGTGTCCAGAAAAGCTCTATATACGTGTAAGCAATTATTTTTATTATCATAATTATTATTAATTGCAGCCCCACCATCTTAAATATACATATATCTTTTTAATAATAGATGCACAGAACGCACTGCATGACACTTTGTACCACAGAACTGACAGACTCGGAGAGACCCCGACCATATCTGCCTTAAACGAGCTGCAAATCCAACACAATTATAACTACAGTACAGCAGTAAGAAATGGAATGCATGGACTTTTCAGATGCTATGAACGGCAGATATCTTGCAGTTTTGTCGGTGAGCTCAACAGGATAATTACAGCCTCCGGTTGCACAAGGTGGCACCACTTTGGATTTCTGTCCTCCTGACAGGTTCTGAGAGAGAAACAGTGCCTCTCCATCACTCTACACCAGACGTTAGAAGTGGAGCTCATCCAGCCTTCCGGTGTGACGATCTATGAGTATTACGCCAGTGGTAAGGGCACAATAACCCTTTCTCTCCAGAGTTACGGTTTCAGCAACTGAAGTTGCTAAAAGTGTAGGTGTATGAATGAATAACCTCCAGTTTTAGTTGATTAAATCGGGAATTTCCAATGCTGGACCTGAAGGGCTGGTTTGTCTGAAGGTTTTCATTCCAGCTCAGCTCTTATTGAGTTGGACCATCTGGTACCTGTCTCAACTGGAGCCGTTTCACATCTTCTCCCAGATCTTCAGGTCCTGGTGCTTTAGAGAGACCTAGAAAACCTGTGGATGCAGTGGCCCTTCCAGGACAAGGACTGGATAGCCCTGATTTAAACTATGTGGCAA